AACTAGCAAATCACAAGGAAACCAATGAGCTACAAAACACTTCCACAGAAAGCAGGCTTGTGGGATGACTGCTTGTTTCTATGTCCTATCTTAACTCAACTTTGTTCCAACTGACTCTGGCCCTCTTTGATATATCTTAGGGCTGTACAGATTTTTCTTTTTATCAAGAACACCCAACTCTTACATGATGTTTAATAGAACAAGTGAAAAGTTAAAAGTCCATCTGTCCCAGCATGTGTAGTACTAAAGACAACTTCAGGGTCTTTTGTACTACAACGTGCTGTGCTCTCAGAAAGGTCCTAAGGTCTTTCACAGCATTTACACAAGAGAAAACCCGGTAAAATCTATGGTTTCCAGATGTTTTTGATTTCAGGTGATGAAAGTACAGGTGCTTTTTCCAACTTTGCTGGAGGGATAACCTACTGTACATACAGGGTAAGGTTTCAGTTAATTTCATTGTTAAAGAAAGGAGAGAATGTTTTAAATAGTGTAACTATCCGATCCAAGTTTGTTAGATCAAAGGTATAAGAACCAAAACAGATGAAGAATATTTTAGGGCTCCATTTTCAGTTGATATTATGCCTTTGCAAAACAGTTTGCCCTAAGAATTTGCCTATGAATGTAATGCCACAATTAGATATGTGACAATGTGTAACATCAGACAGTCTGTGAATGTTGTAGCAAAAATATTTTCTCTCAATCTCAATGTGTTCCTGGGTACCCTCTGTTGCTACTGTACATCCTGGAATTTAGCATCCTTATGTAGAGCCCGGCCATAAACAATGGACTGACAGGATCTGTTTTTCACATTTCCTACACCAACCTTGGTGCTCCATTTACTTTATCTGCTATGGTTAAGTCTTCATGACATTTCAGTCTTTAGTGATATTCTAAAAAAGAGAACTTTAAAGATTACTGTTGCACTGTGTGATTACTCCACTAGGGCCACTCCTGATTTAAAGTGACTCTTTATATCTTAAGTATGACTGTCAAGATCATAGAGAGGTTAGCACAGCTAGCAGTTTGCACAGAATCATATCATACAGTATGCTTTAATGTAGGCATGCACATGCATTGTTGTCTTGATTTTGACTTAAACTGTCACAGCACTCACACACTGTCCTGCTTCTTGCATTCAATACACCAAGCTATTTCACAGAGCTAATATGTTCGACCTGATGTACAGTATATGTATTCCCTCAGTGATCTCTCAAATTAATGCAGTGTAGGAACACATCTCATTTACTTTAATAAATCAAAAAACTTTGGGGGTTCTTAACCATGCTGAAGCATCAGCTTTATGTATTATAGAATGGTAACTGACCCATTCCATTTTAAGATGTTGTCATGAAATAACAGGAGATAATGAACAAATTCACATGGAAAATATGCTTACATGTTGCTCTTGCAGCTCAAATGAAAATAAGATTTAAAATATCCTTCTGTGTAAACTAAAAATAACACTATCTCAGACTTTTCAGCCAAACATCAGTCCACACGAAAATAACCATTGATGGGAAATATCTCATCATAACTTGTTCAATCAGCTCACACCAGCAGTACATGCTTTAGGTATTTTAAGTTGATTTATTTTTTTCAATGTATCTCTTTTAAATATAACTTGTACAGTCATCATCTATTGTAAATCTTCAATATAGACAGAGGTCCAAATAATTTTGTAGAAAATATCTATAAATTATTTCCAATTATTTTTTCAAAGCATTATCCTGGATAAATGAAAATCAGGGGGTGCCTAAAATGCTTACACAAGGTTGTACACTATATTGCTTTTTTAAAAATGGTTAGGACTCTGAAACACTTCAATAGGTATTTATTATAAAAACTATAGCTATAGATGCGTTTGCTACAATTCACACAGTTGTCCAACTTTCCAAACCTATATTTTTGCAAAAAAAATTCAATGTTTGTTACTGTATATTGCCACTGTTTTTTATTGTAGCATAGAATTAAATTAAAATTTAGACTGTTCAATTACTATATGATTAACTCTATGGCTCTGACAGCGTGTGTTGGGATCCATCTTAAGAAACAAGTCTTTTAACTTTAGGCAAAAAAATAATTCAGACCATCTTCTTCCTATATAAGCTTAAAAAAAGGAATAATGCCATCAGGTAAAAAAATGGCTTCTTACATTTCTGAGGAAGTGCACAAATGCTGGGAGTTCTTGATCACAAATCAGAAAAATTAAAAAATGCTGTAGATTCTGAAATATTACTAGTTTTTACAATACAGTAGGTTTAAAAAACAACACATGGATTAGCCCAATTCTGTGACAGCAGGGATGACAAGAAACCAATCTTAATTTTCTTTAAAATTGAACTAACGACTTCATATCTTTCCATTTGAGTGAGATTAACAGACAGGAACCAGCAGTAATTAATTGATTTTCTTTACTTCAATATTCAAATTAAAAAGTATTGCAAGGCAGTTTAATTCATTCTTTAAAATTATTTTTTCTTTAGCAGGTTTATATATTATCGATTTTTTGGATGAGTGGCAAACAACTGGATATATTAAATTAAAGAACACCACAGATAATTATTTTAGAAATAACTATTTACACAAGCCAGAAAGACAGATGTAAAGAATTCTAGAAATAATTTTAAAATCTTTTAAGCAATCTGCAGATTATGTTATAACGTTTTTGAAGTAATAGGTGGCCTGTGCCTATGAGAGAGGTTTATAGTGTGGTTTACATTTTAGAAGATAAAATCAAGAAAATAAAGTCAGCACATGAATGTGCCTTCAAATAAATCATCCTAAAGGAGTTTTAGCATATACATTCCATCTATCTCTCCTCAGTTTTAGACTAATATTTTATTTTGAGCTTTCAAACACCACTGCAATACAGCAACACCACAGTAAAAGCTAAACCTGGCACAGGAGAAATTTATGGTTTTGCTGCTTAATGAGCCACGTTAATCTTAAAATAAGTGGAGATAACATAACACATAACAGAACACAGCCAAAGGGTACTTCTTTTAAGGACAGTGATGAGCTGTTACTCATGACAGAACTGACAATGAAGTGAAAAACGATACTAAAGCAAAAAAAAACATGTAACTAAAAATAAAGAACACAGGAGAATGAACTATGATCAGCTGCCTATGCAGTCATGTTTAAGGCACTCAAACAATATCTGGAAAGCGATAAAATGAACACATCAGATCTTAATATACTGTATTTACTTTGGCATACTTAGATTGGGTTGAGTTGCATCAGAAATACTGGGTTAGCAGATGACACCAGCAGCATGTGGAATTCAGAAAACATAAACCTTGTAATTAAAATAAAATGTGGCCCATGTAGTATATAAAAAAAATACACAAAACACAAAAAAGTTAGTTTTTTTATATTTGTTGTGCTGAAAAATTAGGTTATACAAAGTGTGATAACCTTTCATCTTATTAGAAAAGAAATAGATAAAGTGTAACTTGACAAATACACTTTGTTCTTAGACACAGGCATCAACCATCTTTTCTGTAATACACCTGTTCTTATGTACTAATATACTTTCCATTTAAGTTTTGCTCAAATCTGAATAGCATATAATAGCTATATTAAATAGAGAAAAAAAAGATTAATACAAAATGATTGGCAACAAATATTTTGAGATGGGCATAATCAGTTATAATAAGTGGAAGTTAAGATAGAGAATATTAAAATATAGTTCTTGCACTCCAGTATGCATTTGATTTTTCGAGAATAAAAAAACAGAAAGACTACACATAAATAAGATGACCCAGCAAGCTTTCACTTCCTGCCTGAGGGCTTCATGCACTAAGAATATTAACACAAATATCTGGCAAGAACTGACTATGCCATGTCAGAAAATTAAAGGATCAGAACAAGTGCACTGTGATACAGATCACGTTAGCCTCTGGCTGTATGGGGGAGCCATTGCCTGCACAATTCAACAAGACACTGCTCTGGCCACACGAGATCGCTACAGGGCACATTAGGGATTTACAGCCAGATGCTTTGGATTAATATAAACAAAGGCTGTATCCAGAACAGTGTATTGTGTTGCGTCTTGTGATTTAGTTTTCAGCTGAATGAAGTGATCCTTATTTGCATGTACTACTGTATTTAGGGAACAACTTTACATTTATCGTCAAAGAAAACATAGTTTCAAAGTTTTGTGATTGCAGTTACTTCGAACAGTTTCCACCGTTCCATCACTCAAAAAAATAACCTTCTTAAAATGCATCTTTTGGAAAAGCTTATAATGTATACATACAGATACTGGATCTTCTTTTATGTTTGCTTTGTAATTCAGCGGATAGATCTCTAGAAACATTTTCATTGATAATGGAATGCTGGTCATTTACATGTACTTCAGTCCAATTTTACATTTGTGATAGCAGCATCCAATTTAGTATGCTGTTTGGATGAAGAGGGCTAGTTAAACATACTGGTTAGATAAAAATCCACTTCCAAATAAAAAAAAAAGCAGTAGTCCTGAACACCATCCACTAAAATAATTCATGGATTATTAAAAGGTATCAGGCTATAGATTGTAATAAACGCATTGTTTACATTTTTTCACCTTTGATATGAAGAAAGTAGACGGAGTTAATTCGGAATATCCTTAAACGCACGGGACCGAGGTCGCATTTACTAAAACTGAGATAATCAGAATAGCTAGACTACTGTAAATTTACAATTAAATATAATGTTGACATAAAAATCAAAACACTTTGGAAAATATGAAAAGTTTAAAGGAAAGTATCGGGGCCCCTCATCGCTGTGCGTTACAACTCTTTCTCGCTAAATATACATAAATAGTATTCATGATCACTGATGTTTGTGGACCGAGCTCTCGTTTCCCGTGGCGGAAACCACAGCACTTACAAAGCAACTTCCTGTCAGTCTAATTACTCACTAACCACGAGGTGGCGGCCTCACTTTCCCCTCATCTTTTCTCTTCGGAAAGATGCGATAAGAACCTTGGCCTCCCTTTACTTGGGGTTTCCTACCTGCACCGTAAACACGTGGGTCTCCGCTCGGGACTTTCAACCGGCAGTTCCAGTAGATCTTCAAAACCACCTGAGTTCTTTTCTTTCTCCACTTCTTCAGATGTTGTAGTTAATTTAACCAAGTCTTCCTCGGTACTGCAACACTCGTCGGCGAGGCTGAGAGCCGAAACACCAAGGCTCTCTGTCTCCATGTCACTCGAAGGAAAAAAAAGAAAGGTGCTACGCAATCGCTCTTTACTTGCTATACTGCTTTTAGCTGCTAGATGTCGGTAAATGACCATGTTTTTTTTTTTTTGCAAAACTACAGCAGCTTTTTGTCTTTTATTCTTCACTTATTTATCCGAAGCATGGATTGGTTTGGCTAGATCAGATTATCACGATTTTAAACCGCTGATTGCTGGCACCTGTTAATCCTGAAGGACTTCAGATCATTTAGATTCTGTTACAGAGTATTTGTATACTGTATTTCTAAACACCTATTTTAAGTTCACAAATATGTTCTTAAGTTGAGAGTTGCCTTTTAAAGTTCCAGGTGATTAGAATTAGAGCAAGAGTCAATGGTAAGGTTTGTGTTAAAAAAACACACGTTCTGGAAAATCTTCGATACAATTTTGCTTCAGACCTAACAAGTTTTTTAAATCACCTTTCATCAGGACAATGTTCCAAAGCAAAAGGCAAAAACTGCATTGGAGTGGTTTAAGAATAAGAAAATTAAATGTTCTTGAGTGTGTCAAAATTATGACTTCAATGTTATTGAGAATCAGTGGAAAGTAAAACTTTGAAAGCTTCTGTTTTGAAAATCACTGTAAGAGATCCCCAGGCAATGAGAAAGTGTGAGTAAATCTACCGAGAAGAATAGGCAAAATTTTAATCAAGATAGTGTTGCAAAGTTGGAGGTTAGTTTGGCTGTTAGTACTGTACTACCAAAGGTGATTCCACCAAATAATGAGTTGGTGGGACTGAATACGTAGGCGATCAACATATATTCTTTCTTCTTTAGCTTTTACTAACACTTATTGTAACTTATTTTACTCTTGGACAGCTAAAAGCTAAAAATGCTAATAGTATATTCTATATATGGCCTTTGCTTCAGTTTAAGATATCTTCCCTTGTTGTAATGGAAATAAAACCCACCTGAGCTGAGAAGAATGTCCAATACATCACAGGAGAATAATGCAAAATATTTTATTAAAGATCTGCTTCTCCAGAGCAGCTGTTTATTATTAAAAGAAACGGACAAAGAAAAGTGTCAGAGCACAAAAGTACAACAGTAACACAGACTAATACTACATTTGAACAAGTAATAGGTTGATTCCATCCTAAAAAAAAGAAGAAAGAGAACAGAACGTTTCGTCCGTGGAGCCTTCTTCAGGTGTGGAAGCAGGCTCCACGGCCGAAACATTGTGTTCTCTTTCTTCTTTTTTTCAGTATGGAATAGATAGATAGATACTTTATTGATCCCGTGAGGGAAATTGCAGTGCAACAGCAACTTAACACAACACAACACAGCCACAGTGAAACGAATTATATACTAATAGTACAATACATACAATACAATACAAGAGTTACTCACAGTCCGGACACACAAGAGGAAACTAGAACAGAACAGTACACAGAAAATCGTATCACACGTATGAATATAAATATAGATGTAACCATAGACCTTTGCAGCCTACGCATGCTGACGCAGCTACCCACCTAAACTAATACTACATTTGCCACTCTTTTTTAATATAACCATTATTTTTAAAAGAAAGAAATGTTACTTTACATAAAAGGTGTCATTGACAGACTACACAAGACTAAAATGTAGAATTCACAATGAAATACACGAGTTCTTCCAGGATTTCTCCTAGAAACCTGGGAACAAGGACACTTCTCGCCCATGCAGCCAGGATGTGCAGCAATCTCTTGGGGCAGGGGAAATAGACCCATTTTCCATCCCTGTATAGCAATCCCCTCTGGGATTGTTGATTTTGCTCCATCATACCTCCAGGTGGGGAGAAGAGTGCTTGTCAACTCCAGTCTTCTATGGGTTCATGGATAACTGATGGCTTTGTCTTCTCCTTAATTTATATCGCAGTTATATTAGCGATAGTGAGGAAAGCTGTTCCTTGGTTCACTGAATATTAAAGACCTCTTAGTAGTGTAGATTTTTCCTCCCTCGTTGCACCCTGTCCTCTCCCAACCCTGGGTTTTTTGGAATTCACTGCTTTTCTTTCTTGCTGGGATTCCCTCAGGATCCACCTTTCTCTGCTGGAATTTAGCTGCTTTCAGGGCCCTCATCCATGAGTACAATTTACACATACTGTAGATGCAATGCTCACTTCTCTAGGAACTCCCTCATTTAAAGCCATCCTTCACAGAATTCTACACCTCTCTGAACTCTTGCATCTTGTTCCACCAGTCTCTGTGGATTTAGACATGGGATTGACAATCTAAGCAGGTATTATGATTTCCTTAGAACCCTACCTGGCCCCCCAAATGGGTTGGCAGGAGTGAAGAAGCTGAACTGCGGCTCTCTGGAGTTGCCGACAGTGGAGCTGCTGAGCAGAGGCTGTCCGGATGGCAGGCAGGGTCAGTGGGATAAGAGGAGCAGCAGGCAGCTGTGGAGCTGAACAAGTACTACATGGGTTAGCAGGCAGAAGGCAGCTGTACAGAAGCTGCCAAGAGGAAAAGGGGGGAGAAATACTCCAAAGGTCTCCACAAGACTGACGCTTGTTAAATAATATGCTTTAGCAGTCAAGGGGTGAAGGCAGAGCTTGTGGCCTGACAGCTAAAGAGAGCTCAATGTACTGTAGGAGCATTGGTCTAGCAGAGCATGGAGCCTTAAATAGGTAGACCAATCAGATGCTTGACTGGCTGCCTGATTAATAGATTGAGAGAAGGATGGAGAGACAGCCCTTCACTCAAAACGGTATACCAAGACTTACAAGTCCATTTCTTTTTTTTTACTCTCTGTAACATTGCCCTCCAAAACCCAAGGGGTTTATAAGGGATGTATTTAACCAAGGAGGTATATAAGCATAATGTCAATTAAACATTCAATGAAACACACAGTAAACTCGTGAGGAAACAGCAAACTACAGTATGTTGTGAGTATATTTATCTTAAATTGCCCCCCTGAGGATGAATAAAGTATTTTGGATTGAATTTAATTTTTCTCATTAAGCAGTCACTAATCCATGTTGCACCATTCTCTAATCCATACTCGGTCTTGAACCCCTACAAATGTTAATGTGTAAATTATTGTTTTGTTGAACTTTGTCCTGTAAAAGTCTACATATTGTTACACATTGGGTAAAATTAAAAAGGGAGTAGGAAATAGAATTAAAATTAATAGTACTTATGTGGTCAACAAATATACCCAAGCATTAGGTAAAATTTGAATCATATGAGAGTTTTTTATTGTTTTGTACAGCCCTGGCAAACGGGTAATAAATCAGGGGCAAACAGAGACTAACAAATATGTATGAACAGAACAATAAAATAATAATAATAATAAAAAAATAATACTAAATGACACAATATGCAACATTAAACAAAAACACACATACCATTTACACTATTTACAAAACAAGGTGTCACAGAGGCCTCCATTCTTAAGAGGTAGAAAACCCGGAATTCTAACCCTGTAACCTGAAACACTACTGTACATGAAGTTTAAACACATCAACAAGAGAGATAAATGCTTCTTCTCTCTCTCTGTTAAGATCTGTTCTTGTCCTTTTCACCTCTCTGTCTTTTCTTTTTTTATGCTGTGTCCTGATGAAGACTTAATCATTTACAAAGAAGTTAAATAACTAGAGTAACCAGAGTAGAGTAAACTAGAAAATTCCATGTGATCTTACGAGCCTGTAAGCTCAGTTGCAACTGAGTATAAAGGAACTCATTGTTTTTAAATTTTACAACACCACCCCTAGCTCATGTTTTATTGTTGGGGTGACACAAAGACATGCTGGTTAGGTCTGCTGCCTCATCACTCTTGGGTCCTGGGTTTGATTCTTCGCTGGGACACACTCTATGTGTTTCTGTGGGATTCCTTCCATCTTTCAAAGACTTGTACTGGGTGTGTAGTCACACCTTTGTGCCCCATGCTTCTGGGATGGACTTCAAATATATAATTAGTTTCCTGCTTGTTATATTTCCACCTCTCTAACAGATAAATCTGTCACTTCTCTCTGTTCAAAATTCAGGATTACTGTCCCATACTGCTAAATGATGTTTAATTATGTGTAATTACCAGATACTCCCTTTTTTCTTGAATGAATTAATTTCAAAATTAATTAAGTATTTTAGATTTTAGAACCCAATCTGCATTCAGGATAAGCACCTTTATAGAAACAGGCCATGATGGAACACTCAGGACTGTTTTTAATTGTCCAGAAACAGACACTTTTCCGTAACTAGAATTACAGGCTCGGGCAAAACTCCACTGGTTGTATATCTACAGTAATCATAAAGCAGAGCTTCAAAGGTTGAACATCTTGATCTCAGTGTTACAAAGTGACTTTGTGTCTACCCATTCAATTTACCTAGAATAAAAGCCTTGATATTGTTCTCTTTGAGTTTCACAACACATTCTCTCCACTCCATCATATTAAATATTTCCCAATTTAACTAACTCGGTCTCCTTGGTTACCACTTAGACATTTATTCATTGGCATACATCCCCACATTACACAGCATCTGCTCTAAATTGCAAAACATAACCAAATCATAAATAAATTTTCTGAAATGGAGATTTGGGGCACCTCCCTAATTATTACCTTACAACAGTAAATACTTCAATGGAGATTCTATGTATAGTCTCTTGTATGATTAGATTGCATGTATCTCTTCAGTTTCCACTTCTACATTCAAAGATTTTCTAATGCATATTTTCAGTAATGGGTACCTGTTTGCAGCAATCACCTACATTTAAACTAGAAAGTGACAGTTATTTTTTAAATAAACTCTGCAGTTCTTTGTAAAAGTATTACAACCCTGCAAATGGTGTCCCATGTTGTGAAATTACAAAATGATGCATACGCATTTTTAAACATGATATTTTATTCAAAACCTGAATGCCCAAACTGAAGACTTCTAAGTGTAAGATAAGCTACAGCATATGTCAGCAATAACTATAGAGAAAGAAAAACTGAAATATACTATATCCATTGAAAGTATTCAGACCTGTGAAATAAATATTTGGTGAAGCACTTTTGACAGAAATTATAGACATATTCTTTTTGGGTAAGTCTCTACCAACTTTGTACAATGTCTTGGTGTAATTATTTACACGGTGGCACTGTGGCTAAGGATCTGTGCCTGTGGCTGGAAGGTTGCTCATTCAAATCCTGTGGCCAGCAGAAGAATCCTACTCTGTTGGGCCCCTGAGCAAAGCCCTTAACCCCAGCTGCTCCAGGGTTGCTGTATAAATGGCTGACCCTGTGCTCTTACCCCAAGCTTCTCTCCCTTTCTGTGTGCCTGTGTGTCTCATGGATGAAAAAGAAAAACAAGCATGTTTTCATCCTTTAACACAATGCAGGCAACACCTACCCTTACAGGAGGTTCAGCAACAATTGAAAAAGAGTGGTGTTTCTCATGGACAGCACTGCATTCGTACAAGTGTCCAGGGGAGTAGGGAATGCTGTGCCACAGAGGCAAAGATTTTAAGAATCTCTTCCAAATTCTAGAAGCCAAAGGGAATCAGCTTCAACGGCACGACTGGGTAGCTTGTTAAATGAGATTCTTGGTGAGCAGAGAACAGATATGCCAAAACAAAACAATATATTTTTAATTGATTATAACCATCAATAGTCTGAAGTGATTATAATAAACAGATGAAACAATTTTGCGTTTTGTCACTGAGAGCCATCACAATGATTAAAATGTTGCTGGTGACAAGTGATAATTTGGGAGTTAAAAATACTGCACAGACAATAAGACTACTGTACATAAAGTTGGGGAGACTTTTTGTGTTGCCATAAGTGTAGCTACGATATTCAAAAATAGCAAACGAATTAGCTAAGAAATTTCCATTAGGCACTATAAGAGGAATTTGGAAAGTACCCAGCTTATTGTTCTTGTTCAGTTGTATATATAGGTAAATCAAGTTAAACATGACTAGTTTTGTAATGTGAAGAAAGAAAACACAACGTTTTGGCCGTGGAGGCTCCACGGTTGAAATGTTGTGTTTTCTTTTTTCTCTTTTCAGTGTGGAATAAACCCATTACTGATGCAGCTACCCACCTGAACTAGTTTTGTAATGTAATGTACTGTACATGGTTTCACTTCTCTGTCATAATCTACATCCACTCCATTGTTCTCCCTTCACCACAAAACAATGTTTTACATAGTGGCAATTTGTTTTGAATCATTGCCTCAGATGTACAGTATCTGGTGGCCCATTGGGGATTTGAGTTCTTGGTTCACTATCAAACTAAACATAATATTTGGGAATTTAATTAATATGAATCACTTCACAGGATTTAAAGTAGAGCAGTTTTAACATTTTGCGAACGTGTTTTCAATGTTCGTGTGCAGCGGATGTGTTTATAGTGATTTTGGACTGGTATTAAGAGTTTCCCCTGCCAGTGTCAAAAGAGGTTTCCATCTTCAAAGTCAACGGTATTAGTTTTTTTTTAATTGGGTATAACTGGATTTGGGCAGCTACAGCATGCTCTGAATATGGGTTTTAAGTTTGAATTGATGGATCCATGTCTTGCCATCGGTAATTACTTCAATATCACTTTGGGAAATTATTATCCTCCAAGAAGTGAGATGCCAGTTTCACGTGTTTGTAAGGTTGACAGGCAAACCGGTATACACAATTGCATATTTACTGTACATTGTAGTGGGTAGTTAATATCACTGCCGCGCAGCTCTTTAATCATGAGTCTATTTCTGGTTTGGAACTTACTGTATGTATAGTATTTTCATGTAATTTCGAAAGGGTTTCACTATTTAATAGTGTTTCTTTTCAATTTCCAAAGATACGCTGCTTGGTTATATTGGGCAATGACAGTGACAAGTAAATTATACGATCACATACAGACACTAAGGATAGTAAAGCAACATCTGCACATTTCTATCGTAATTGTTCGGCTTTTATCGTATTTTCATTGCTGTTCAAGGGTTCCAGTTATGTCTCTTCTTTTCTGTTTAGTAGAATTAATGTGTATAGTCAGAAAGTCTGTTTTTTACAATCATCTCTGAATGTTAAAATTCGCAAGTCAATTAACGTTCTTTTAAGTTAAAGTCGAAAAGGACTACGAGACCCATAGTGCATTGTGAATTTAAAACGAAGAAGAATCTCACGCATGCCCAATAATTAAGTCCTCGGTATTCCCAGAGAATGCATGAATGTTAATCGATGACTGTGCTAGAGTTCATTGAATATTTAGAGTTGGTGCTAAAAGAGACAAGAACATCTCGAACTTGCGAATGTACTCTTAAATGGGAGGATGCTGGTTTGAAAATCTCGCGATATCATAATTGAACATTTGATGACGAAAAGACATGGCGAAACTGCAAGAGAGGTCTGGGGATATCCGTGCAGTACAGTAAGTTGAATAATCACGGGACTGCATACGATGATACCTGAAGGAGGAAAAAAACTTATTATAGGAAGATGGCTAGATTTTTATTCAATAAAAATTGAATTACCCCGTAATACTGTCATTTAGTCTTTCCGTACAACTGCTCTTGAAGAGGATAGGAAGAGTTAAATGTATCTACTCTGCGAGTGTTACACAGTAACTCTGGTCTAACTGGCAGACTGGTTGTTTCCGACTGTGACTAGGTCACGAGCGTAAACATGCACAGAACTGAAACTGGACTGGAACCGTAACACAGTTTACAAGAAAACAGACGCACTGTGGACAATCGTTTTGTTTTCTGTAACGTAAGTCATTTACCAAGACCAGTTTTGCCCAGCTTCTTTGATCCTGAGTCATGCATGGATGGGTTGGATTACCTGTGTATTGCACCTGTGTAAGTAAGCCTCCATGTGGACCTAATTGTGTGGAAAACAAGTATTTTCTAAGATTAGCTGAAAGCAAGTAAGGATATACATACTTCAGCCAGAAAACAAACAATTAGCTACGTGGGTTTCAACTACGTATAACTAGAACAACAGGCTTGGTTTCGAATACATACTGCAGTACTTGGAAATCCGTGTTTTCGGCTCTAACATCTTGGTTTTGAAGATTCTTAAAGATTTCACTGCACTAGCAAACCCAGCCTCAACCGCATGTAAGCAGGATACACTGTTTTAATTGCTCGTTGTTGTGTTTTTTTTTTATTTAGTGGGTGAATTGAGCCAAAGAACAATCCTTCCCTGATGCCGCTGCTCTGTGCGAAGATCCAGAATGATACATTTCAGTGCGGTGTCAGACTTCTGAGCTTCTGAGTTTATTTAAAGACCGTCTTTCAGAAAAGAAAACCATTAAGGCACATATTCAGTATCATGAATCTGCATCAGGTGCTCACAGGAGCTGTCAATCCGGGAGATAATTGTTTCGCTCTAGGAAACATCAATGACGAGCCTTTTACGGTAAGTCCTTTCATTTTCTTTATTTAATAAGCGGAAATATTTAACATTACAACAGTATTAATAACTGAGGAGAACATAACTCAAAACTGCCGTTTTATTTCTAACTATAGACATACTGCACCTATCTCTGTATGTGTTTTCCCTTGCATTTTACTACAGGTGTAACTTTACAGCTGATATTTTACCGAATTTAGATTATACAGATATGCAAATCATCATGTGTAAATTAACCTAATAAAACTGAAAGATCGCAATATAACAAATACAACTACAACACAATTTTATGCATGAAAAAGCACCAAATCCAGCAAAATGAAGGAATTATATCCTGAAAGATAGATTCTGCTTCTAAAAACAGAATTAATACAATTTCTGAGGAGTAGGACTTTACAAAGTGAATTTATAATGCGTATGTAAATGAATGTTCAGTCTCAGCTTCTACAGTACACTGCAGAATTATATATAAATGTAGTAGAAGATGGAAGTATATCTTCTGCATTTTCTCTGTAGGAGATGACTTACAGAAATTAGAATACACCAATAAAAGGGGAACTCCGATATGTCTTGAACTTTGGAAGTCCTACAAAGAGAAACATCTAATCAAGGGACTAATTTTATTTAGAATTCCTGTGTTAAAGAGATTGGAACATTGTTTACAGAATTACAGAACTTTTTTGGTCAAGTAATTTGTTATAGCCGTCTAGTACTGTTTAAATTGTGACTACTGCATTTTAAATATCATGGCTAAAAAAAAGCATTAAGCCTATTGTTTCATATGTTAAATCTAAATCTAAGTCATGCACCCATATCTTAGGTACTTCACATCTGTCTGTCTGATTACCTACTCATCCATATATAGAAATCTATCAAACTATCCAAATTCACAAAAATCAGCTGTGGGTTTTACATTTAAGATTTCGAACTCTGTAAAATAAAACGTTTCAGCAGGGTATTACTCGTTTTGTACCTGGCAGTGTCAGACCTGGAGTGGATAGTAGATAAACTTTTAATGCTTTGGTTTTGGTGTAGAACTTTCAGAAGACAGATGCATGATATTTAAGATGTGGCCTTTGGTTTTTGAAGATGTGTTGCCTCTGTATTGTGATAAACCTTTGCTTTATGAGTTAGAAATGGAAGCATTAAAGATTTCTTCTTATTTTGTTTTACTGCTTGTTTTCTGTTGCTGGAAGATTCAGTTAGTTCAGTTTTCTTTCATGTTCTGCTTAGGTATTTTAAAAACCTTAAAAAATAATAAATCTTGTACAAGTTTATTTTTATAAAACTGTTGCTTAAAACATCTATAATGTTCTATGACTGATGTACGAATACAATTCATTTGTTGGAAAGTTAAAGTTAAATTTCAGCCTTCACCTTCTTTGGATTTTGTGACTTTCTCTTCAGCAGTAATATGAGTCACTTGCACATACTGTAGGTCTAGTTACTAATAAATGTGAAATCGCTTTGTGACGTTGAATAACAAGCACACTTTATGTGCAGAGTGATGTTCATCTTGTATATACTGTATTTGTCCTAGTAAAGTCTTTTGTTAACTGCATTTATCAAGTTACAGTCTGATAAACAGAACATGTTAATGTAAACACTGTTTGAGTATTGCTATGACAGAAGCTCTTGATATTTCTTGGTAAATATTTATGCATGTGTGATGCTTGTATAAAATAGATCCCACCAATCAGATAGCACTTTTGTAGGATCTTGGCTTATTCTTCGATGTCCTGATCTTGGTTGGTGTGGTGGAAGTGAAACAAACTCGTCCCTCCTTTAAAAATTCCCAGTATTCACCTGATTCATACCAGTGATCTTTCACAACTGTTTTCCAGGTAAGAAGTGCATCAGGTATTGGAGTTTCTTAATTTAGGCCATATTGCATTTATTTACATGTGGTATTCCAACACATCTTGTAGTGTCTGAGATAGGCCAGCTGTCACTTGATGGTGGCAGAACATTCATGATGTTCACTGGGAAATGCTCATCAGACCATTCTTGTTTGCATAGAGATAGTCATGTAGAATGTTCTTGCTGTGTCATGTTGTAGAATTCAGTAGTGCTCAGGAAGATCTGTTATGCAGCATTTGAAAACTGCATACATAGAGCTGCATACCTCCATGTCATGCAGCATATAGGTGCTTACTTCTATTCAATACTGAAACAAGACCGTTCACTTCTGCTGTTAGCTGAAATTTAATTTGACTTAACATATGCAAGGATAACCACTGTGGGTCTCAAACCCGAAGTAAGCTAAAGGGTAGATTATTCTTTGCGGGTTTCTGACCTGGGTATTGACCATGCTTGGAGCTCTTGCAAGAGCCAGCTTCTACAGAGCAACCAAGGATGCATAATCATTCATTTCAGGTTGTTCTAATTTTAGAATGGGCTCAGCTCCCACTTAGACGTTAATACATCTGATGAATGAGAAATAAAGGTGTCCTTGTGCAGATGACATGGTATAGATTGTCTGCAAGTACAGGATCTGCCTTCTTTTAGAAACCAATTAATGGCTTTTTCAACTGTGTTTTAGGAAGAAAATATTTTGGCATTAGAGGGATATATACAGTACATATCAGGATAAGTAAGCTCTTTATTGAGAGTTTACTGAACATTCTCTTTGTTCTGCTTTTGTTTTTACAGATTAACCTGTTTAACACAATGATCTGTTTAGTCAGTGCCACCATATGAATTGCCTTTTGCCCAAAATTGTAATCTAAATCTAAATAACTTAAAAAACACTGCAACTCATTTTAGGTTCCGTGTCCATGTTTCCCTGCTTTCGTGTTCTAATCTGTATTATGATTGACATCTTTTGAGATCCATTTTCGTAGTGCCTACTCCCCCACAGAGGAGAGGGTAAACAGCACCTTCATGATCAGAGTATTGAAAGCAGGCTTTGGGATATAAATTCCCAAAAACATTTGTGAAATTGGAGTGTTTCAGACAACGCTTTGATTATGATTATGGAATTTAGTTCCGATTTTTAACTGTTGCTTAAGATCATCATCCGTATTTTTTAAACAATTTTCAGAAAACAGTCTTTCTCCAAGCAATTGATATGATGATCGTTTGATACTTGGCTTTCAAAGAAGCTTCTTATTATCAAGAAGATTAATGCCTTTGATTTTAATTTGATGAAAGTGCCAACGAGTCCAGTGTGGCAAACAGCAGGATGCTGTAAAAGTGTGATGTATCCTGTAGCTGAAGAACCACACAATATGTTTAACCTTCACCATTTACTTCTGTCAGTCCTATCTAACCCTTTAATTCACACATGCTCTCAAAATCTCACAGGCCATGGTAAATGTTTTTTTTTAACAAAATAAGAATTGGCGTTCATTAAAGTATGTAACAGAAATGCCTCATTATCTTAAAACAATGCACATCTGTACGACAGTTAAACTGACCTCAGCATAACAGATCAATATAAGCTCATAGACGGGGGAATTCATGGGAGCTGCCCCCCTTTTTATATTGTCTAGTTGTTCTCTGTAACAGCACTGAATTCATGCAGTGTGCTACAAGGCACTCATCAGCTGCTGCATGACTTCAAAGCCATTGAAAGGGTTTACTCTGATTCACAGTGAACATTGCAAGCAAGCTGTGGCATAGAACTATATATATTTTTTATTTTCTTCTTTGACTTTTCTGCAGATATGATTAATCATTCCCATAGCTACAGATCAAAGCAGATCCTGCTTATTCCTGACTTAAAGGAAAGCTGTTTTTTTTTACAGGGAGTTCAAATTCATTCGTTAAATGGGCAATTTAAAGCAGTCTTGTATTTAAGCTGTTAGCTTTTGTTTGTCATGATGTAAAGAAATGGGTAGTTTTTAAATGATATTTGAATACTGTATCAGGGTCATTTATTTTTAGAGTATGAACATCCCAGTAAAAGTTCACTTAATTCTGACAGAAAGTCGGGTTTTAATAGATTACCTCATTCAGACACACAGTTCTCTCAAGTAATATTTATTTGACTGTAATATCTGTAGAATAAGAAACTAACCACTAAATTTGTTCGCTAGACTAGCCCAGTGCCTTAGCAAAGCTGATTATTCTATCATTGTTTTTTTTAAATGTTTCGCTGTACTGAAGTATACTTCAGTGCAACTTTAAGTGGGAATTTGAACATTAAATGAATTTGCTTTGTCATAGTTCATAGTGTAATAAACATCTTCTAGATATTGTATCTATTATGTAGACCAGTCTTGGGCTCATATTTTTGCCGGATTCTGAAGTTTGCCTATAGTGCCTATTGTTCATGTGCACTTCTAATGTGCGCTGACATTTCAAAAAGAAATTTACAGAAAATTAAGTGTCAGTCCTTCCTGAAATGTCTGCCTTGCAAACACAAATGCTCCTGGCTTTCCCATACTGTATGTTTTATTTTTGTATCACATTAACATTTATTGCAACCAATTGGTGAAACATTTTATTTAAGTTAAGAGATCTTTGATCCTATACTAGTGTATAGACATTATTCCTGAAATATAAAGAATATAATAAAAGAGAAAACCTCTGGGAGTTTTTACATTTGTACTACAATTTACTACAGTTGTGCTTTTCACTCATTTCCACCTCAGCTTCACCTCCAGGCATATTCAATTTTCAGTTTCAATAAGTAGGCTTAACACTACATTTTGTTGATTGCATGTAGCATTGATTACCCATGTTTGCAGCTAAAGCAAATATCGCACTGTACTTCATTTTGTTATTCACAATGGTGAATGTAGAACAGTACAAAGATTTGCCGTTCAATTTTGTCTGCACAATAAATATGTTGGAACCTTAATGATTGAACAATATGGAATAAAAAATGTAATACAATGGGTAATAAGGAACAAAACAAACATTTTCTGTTAATACAATGCATATTGTTAGTATGTTTAATCTTCTATACGTTTAACACATGCATCTTTATCATTGGGGAAAAAATAGCATTTTTAATCACAGTTGTTGTACTCAGTTTATTATTTTTCCACTTGAAAATA